ATTCTATTACTCTATTCTATTATTCCATTCTATTACTCTATTCTTATTCTATTCTATTATTCTATTCTATTCTATTATTCTATTCTATTATTCTATTCTATTACTCTATTCTATTATTCCATTCTATTACTCTATTCTTATTCTATTCTATTATTCTATTCTATTCTATTATTCTATTCTATTATTCTATTCTATTACTCTATTCTATTATTCCATTCTATTACTCTATTCTTATTCTATTCTATTATTCTATTCTATTCTATTATTCTATTCTATTATTCTATTCTATTACTCTATTCTATCATTCTATTCTATTATTCTATTCTATTCTATTACTCTATTCTGTTACTCCATTCTATTATTCTATTCTTTTGTTCTATTCTATTCTATTAGTATTACTCTATTCTATTATTCTATTCTAGCCTATTATTCTATTCTATTAGTCTATTCTAGTCTAGTCTATTATTCTATATTATTCTATTCTATTATTCTCTTCTATTATTCTACTATATTCTGTTATTCTATTCTATTAATCTATTCTGTTATTCTATTCTGTTATGTTATTCTATTCCATTCCTATTCCTATTCTACTCAGGAAACACAAACCTTGCTTCTCCAAAACCTTTCATTCTTCCTCATGATTGGTTGGTCCTCCTGTCAAGGGGAGCCAACATGGTGGTCTCTTCTTGGGGAGTGGGAGGCTTCCAAACATATTTTCACTTGGCTGTTCTTTCTCTCCCTTGCAGGAACCAGCAACTTCCTGGATGCAGTGACTTACATTCAAGTGCAGTACGAGAGCAAGAATAAGTCATCCAACAAAGAGATATACACTCACATCACCTGTGCCACGGACACCAACAACATCCAGTTTGTCTTTGATGCTGTAACTGATGTCATAATTGCCAATAACTTGCGTGGATGTGGACTGTATTAAAACCCCTTCCTCCCCCTGCGTCCTGTAGAAGAATCTCAATTCATTGCATTGTTTGGTTCGGTCTCCTTACTCTTCGTATGTAGCACTAAGACCCATCGGTTTGTTTCAGATGTAGAGGTTGGGGAGCATGGGTTACGCACTCCACTTTGATCTGTTATGGTGGGAAAAGAGATCTTGAAAACTGCTGTCTGTGCCTCAATTCACAGGGCTTTTTGTTCACCGCATACACACGAAAAGGATAAAGAGTTAATAATCAGCTCTGGAAATGCCCTGAAGGGAATTTCATAAAAATTGCTGATTTCTCAAATCTTGTTCAAACTTTCCACTCTCATTTCCATTTTCCCACATCTGTTCTTCTGCCTTTCAATGCTCTGATTTCTTTTCTTTTTTTCACAAAAAGCTTAAGACCATAAAAAATACATGCGCTATTAATCTTTTGGCTGATTTTTTTTTTACTGTTTTGCCCGCCTACCTCTTCTCCTCCAATCTCCACCCAACCTGGAGTTTCGTGTCTTCAAATTTTACTTTTTTTTTCCCATTCTGAAATACATCTGAAATACCAGATGAATTTCCAGAGCAAGAATTCCATGTATTCATTTTGCCGTTCAAGCAAACGTACCCAATCTACACATTTAAGGACTAGACCTGTGATGGTGAACCTATGGTGCAGGTGCTACGGGGGGCATGCAGAGCCCTCTCTGCCGGCACATGAGCCATCATCCCAGGTCAGCTCCACTGCATATGCACATGTGCCTCCCGCTGGCCAGGTTATTTTGGGGTCTCTGCCGTGTATGCGCGGGGGCAGCCCGCATGCAAGAGATGTATGTGCAGGGAGCAAGGGGGCCTGCAGTGCCCCAAACACATGGCCTCTTTTTGGTCCCAGGGGGATGGAGGGAGGCCTGCTAGGCCCAAAAAGGGTTGGGGGCATGTGCAGGGGGGAGCATGCACATTGCACTGCACAGGATGACAAAAAGGTTAGCCATCACTGGACTAAACAATCAGTGCCTATGGAGCTAGACAGCTGTGAGGCAGAGGAACAGCTGGAGCCTGTTCCCAGTGTGCGCATGCGCAGAGCTGCCA